TTCGAGACAGGGCATCCGCAGCGCCGTTGGAATTTCCATCCACATGATCAATCTTGTACTTGAATCGATTGAGGTACTCCAACCATCTGAACTCCTTGGGTGACAGTTGTTGCTTGTCCTTTAAGTACGTGATATTGAGATGATCAGTCTTGATCAATAACTCTGAATCGATGAGCATGCTCTCATACTTCTTAAGTGTCTCGATGATTGCCATTGTCTCTCTGATTGTTGTTGTAAACATCCGTTCACTCTCGTTGAGCTTGCGTGAGAATGCTGCGACCAATTGAAGTGACCCATTGTCATCACGTTGATTGACAGTTGAACCCAGCGCAATGGATGACGCGTCTGTGTACAGTTCCAAACACTTGTTTCGATTAGGAATAACCAATTGACTCTTGTCACTGATTGAATCTTTGATAGTATTGACCAAGTATGTCTGTTGCTCAGTCAGCTTGATGTTGCCCTTGACCTTTGCCACCTCGTACAGTTCACTTGTCAACTCTGCCAGCTTGGGGATGAAACTGGAATAGAAGTTGACCAAACCAAGGAACGATTGCATTGCTTTGCCAGTGGTGGGTATTGGGAAGGTCTTGATGGCCTCTACCTTGGAGGGCTGCGTGATGATCTTGCCGTCATGTACTTGGTATCCAAGCACTTCGATCTTGTTCTCAAACAAATGTGTCTTGGACTTCTTCAAGTAGATGCTGTTGTGACGACACTTCAGTAAGAATCGTCTTACATTGATGGCATGGTTCTCTAGTGTATCTGATGCCACATACATGTTGTCAAAGTAGTTGAACTGTGAGTTGTCATTGTCTTCTTGTAAGATGGCTGCGATCGCTTGATTGAATACGCTAGGAGACGAGGAGAGACCTTGCGGTAGTACAACCCAGGACCACATACGACGACCATCGCTGAAGTTGAGGTACTTTGAACTCTCTGGTGAGACACGACATTGCCAATAACCATCAATCATATCTGCATCTGTGAACCACTTGTTGGATTGAAATCGATTGATGATGTCGTCTGTTCTTGGTATATTGTCTGTTGCTGTGACAATGTTGTTGTTTACTGGTCTGAAGTCAATGATCAGTCTTGGTCGTCCATCTTTCTTCCAAATGACATTGGCTGTGCATCCATGTGCTGCTGTCGATGGAATGATGGCACCTCTCTCATACAGTCAAAAAAAAAAAAAAACAAAAAAAAAATGCTGTT